AAAAAAAAAAGAACATAAACCCAATCTTTGACCAAGTATTCTGCTGCTAAATACAAAAAAACTCCACTATTAAGTACTATTAAGTATTAATATCCAAGACAAACTTTTTATCCAAGACAAACTTTTACTCAAGAGAGATTTTTTAGAAGCAGGTTTATGGCACATTTGTTATGATGTTTGAAAATCAAAAATGTCCTGAAACAACATAAAAATCCATGAAGATTAGAATGTGTGTAATATTGACATGTGCAACAGTATAGAATCATAAATATATCATGCCAAAATAAAGAAACCAGAGACAAAAAAAAAATGTGTTGTAAATGTGACACTCAAGAATAGGTAAACTGATATAGAGTAATAAAATTGGAAAGAAAAAGGGAAAAGAACTGATAGAAAGATATTCAAAGGACAATTATACTGTGTTTAAGGAGCCCCCAACCCAATTTCACCTTATCTGCTCAGCTAGCCAAATGGTGAAAAATAATCATGGGGATGAATCCGTAGAAAAACTCTGGAAACATGAATAATCAGAGTAGATCAACTCCCTCAAGGAATGACAAAGTGGAAACACCAGAAGATCCCATTCATAAACAAATGGGAGAGATGTCAGAAATTGAATTCACAATTTGGATTGCAAATAAGTTTAACAGATGGGAGTAAAGTTGGAATTAGAAATTCAAGGAGCATTTCAAAAGTTGTCTCAAGAATTCAATGAATGCAAATTCAAAGATGAAATCACCAAAGATTTTGACACATTGAGGCAAGAACTTGCAGCCCTCAAAGATCTGAGAAATACAGTAGAATCCCTCAGTAACAGAATGGAGCAGGCAGAAAAAAGGGTTTCTGACATTGAAGAAAAAGCTTTTGAATGCTCCCAAAAGCCCAAAGAGGAAGAGAAGTGGAGAGCAAAAATGGGTCAGTCTATCAGAGAGCTCTGGGATAATTTGAAGAAAACTAATATTTGCCTTATGGGAATTCCTGAAGGTGACAAGGTTGCTTTGAAAGGCCCAGATGACCTACTCCAAGATAATAGAGTAGAACTACCCAGACATTCCAAGAGATTCAGAAATTCAGATAGAAGAAAGTTTCAGAAACCCAGCATGACTCAACCCAATGAAGCATCTCTCAGACACAATACAATTAACTTCACCAAAGTTAATATGAAGGAGAAAATTATTCAAGCAGCCAGATGTAAGAAAACCATAATCTGCAAGGGGGAGAATATTAGAATGACTGCTGATCTCTTTGCTGAAAACTTTCAAGCTAGAAGAGGGTGGTCTTCAACCTTTAACCTCCTACAACGAAGTAACTTTCAACCCAGGATCCTATATCCAGCTAAACTGAGTTTCATTTATGATGGACTAATTAAATACTTTAATGACATCCACATCTTGAAGAAATTTGCCATTACTAAGCCAGGTCTCCAGGATATTCTCAGATCTATCCTCCATAATAACCAGCACAATCCTATACCACCAAAGAAAACTGACTCAGAAAATTTTGATCAAATTCCAACTGCCACAGTGGCAAAAGGATTAAAAATGGCCATGGGACTTTTGAAAAACTTGATACCCAAAATATTACAAGGCTTATCAATATTCTCAATTAATCTGAATGGCTTATATTGCCCTCTAAAGAGGCACAGGTTGGTTGACTGGATACAAAAACTCAGGCCATATATTTGTTGCATACAGAAATCTCATTTTACCTGAAAAGATAAATATAGACTCAGGGTGAGGAGATGGTCATCTGTAATTTAAGCAAATGGAAATCAGAAAAAAGCAGTTGTTACAATTTTATTCGCAGATACAATAATAAGCTTTAGACCAAAAAAAGTAAGGAAAGATAAGGATGGTCACTTCATATTTATTAAGGGTAACAATCAACAAGATGAGATTTTAATTATTAACATTTATGCACCCAACCAGAATGTGCCTCAACTTATAAGAGAGACTCTAACAGACATGAGCAACTTGATTTCCTCTAGCACCATAATAGTCAGAGGTTTTTACACCCTTTTGGCCGTGTTGGATAGATCCTCCAATAAGAAACTAAGCAAAGAAATTTTAAACTTAAACTTAACCATTCAATAATTGGATTTAACAGACATCTATAGAACATTTCATCCCAACAAAACTGAATACACATTCTTCTCATAAGCCCATGGAATATACTCCAAAATTGACTACATCTTAGGTCACAAAGCTAACCTCAGCAAACTTAAAAGAATACAAATTATTCCTTGCATCTTCTCGGACTATCATGGAATAAAAGCTAAACACAGTAACAACAAGAATGTGCATACTCATACAGAAACTTGGAAACTAAATAACCTTACGCTGAGTGATAGCTGGTTTGTAGATGATATTAGGAAGGAAATTACCAAATTTTTGGAACAAAACAAATAATGAAGACACAAATTACCACAACCTCAGGGATACTGCAAAGGCAGTTCTAAGAGGGAAATTTATAGAATTGCAAGTCTTTCTCAAGAGACTGGAAAGAGAGTAAGTTAACAACTTAATAGGGCAACTCAAGGAACAGGAAAAGGAAGAAAATTCTAATCCCAAACCCAGCAGAGGAAGAGTAATAACCAAAATTAGAGCAGAATTAAATTAAATTGAAAATAAAAGGATTATACAACAGATCAATAAATCAAAAAGGTGGTTGTTTAAAAAGGTTAGTAAAATAGATAAACCTTTGGCTAACCTAACCAGGAATAAAAGAGTAAAATCTCTAATTTCATCAATCAGAAATTGCAAAGATGAAATAACAATAGACTCCTCAGAAATTCAAAAAATGCTTAATGAATATTACAAGAAACTCTATTCTCATATTCTCAGATATACAAAAATTTGATGGAAATAGACCAATAATTGGAAGCACGCTGCCTTCCTAGAATTAGCCAGAATGAAGTGGAAATGTTGAACAGGGCTAAATCAAGTTCTGAAATAGCATCAGCTATACAAAATCTCCCTAAAAAGAAAAGCACAGGACCTGATAGCTTCACATCAGAATTCTTCTCAACATTTATAGACAAACCAGTGCCTATATTACTTAACCTTTTCCAAAATATAGAAAAAGAAGGAATACTACCCAATACATTCTATGAAGCAAATATAACCTTGATCCTCAAACAAGGGAAAGACCAAGAAGAAAAGAAAATTATAGCCTAATATCACTAATGAATAATCGATGAA